TGTAAAATGTTTCATTTGTACCGTGAAAAGCTAGATTCTGTTCACCCAAAACTCTCACTAATGCTATTAAACGCTTTAGTATTTGCTGCCAATACTTTTCTTCATTCTTCATCTTGCGCAAAATTTCTTCATCTATTGTACTATCCCTCTGTAATCGCTGATGTAGTTCTTTCCACTTTTGATAGTTCTGCAAATGTTCAGGACTTTTCTCTTGGGAAGAAATAATTGCCGCCATGTTTTTCCAGTCACTTGAACCTGTATGAGTTAGTGATGATATGCCAATTGCTTTCATACTGAACAGTTTGCAACAGAAACAAAACACTGAGTCTTTTAATACTGAATACAAGAGCCAGCTGCGACATAATTCTTCTCCATTAGGAAGTTTTCTTAAGTAGTGAAATACTGAAAACTTTCGATTGTTCTTATCATTTGGGAAACTGATATCTTTTATTTGCTGAGGTCCACCCCGACGGGCATTTCTTTTTAAAAGTTACGATCTAAATGTATTTTAAATGTCTTTTAAACGTCTTTTAAACATTAATGTTTAAAAGACGTTTAAAAGGCATTTAAAACACATTTAGAACGTAACTTTTAAAAACAAATGCCCGTCGGGACGTTCTACAATGATTGCACGTATATTATGATTAATTAGTAGAGGCCAAAGTGCTGGATCCTGTGGAATAACATTATCCGTTTTTTCTTCACTTGCTTGCTGTACATGCTCCTCGAGAGAATTATTCAATTGGCCAATATCTGCATGGGAAACGGGAACTGTTGAGTAAGAAAGTGTTTCACTCATCATCACATTATCATTATCAACAACATTAGATATTTCTTCAGCTTCCATATCAGTGGGAATCTGCCCACCATTACTATCCTCTTTAGTAGAGTCTTGTCGGCATATAAACTTTAGCAATGAACCCTTCTGTTTTTCTTGTTCCCTCTGCTGTTCAACTTTTCGTTTACGATATTGAGCTCCTGAATGCTTCTTTCTCTCAGCCATATCTGAAATGTAACAAGAAAATAATAAAATAAATGAATGTTGCGATGTTTAACTAATACATTAATAGGTCTTCTGTGATTGGCTTCAAGAATAAATTATATATAGCTAGCTATAGTTTCCAACAGGTCTGAACAGCTGTGTAAGGTTTTAACAGGTTATCATTTAACTGTATTATACAAAAAACAACTTGGCAAAGTTATACGTTCTGCTAGTATTTTTTGTGTTTTTTTAAACGGAAATGGAAGTTAGCTATATGAATGAGATTTCAATGTGTAATTAGCTGGTGCAGATCAAGACATATTGTAGAAGCGACTCAACAAAAAATTTAACCTGCTAGATGCATTGTGTTTAAATAATTCAAATTTTATTTTGTATAGCAAAGTTATACGTATGGTGAAGTATAATAATAATATAATACGTAATATATGATAGCCCTAGATTTAAGCTAGTTATTATATATTCATATAAAAAATATTTTACTTTTCTTAATAAGTGTCTAAAACTTAATATAAATGTATAATAGTATATAGAATGTCACTATTCACCTATATGTATATATATATATATATATATTGTCAGTATAAATTATATAAAGAATATAGTTGACTAACTATTGAAAGTTGTTATGAAAATCACTTTGATTGTAAAGACGCCGCCATATTTGTTATGATTTAGATTGCGTTCGGTAAAATATACGTACATATTGCTCAATGAGCAAAAGCGTTGTTTTTTGTTAGCATATAAAAAAACTTATCAATTTTTAGGCGCCCCTAAACTTTGGCGCCCTAGGCGATTGCCTAGTTCGCCTATAGGGTACACCGGCCCTGTATATATATATATATATATATATATATATATATATATATATATATATACATATTTATATATATATATATATATATATATATATATATATATATATATATATATATATATATATATATATATATATATATATATATATATATATATATATATATATATATATATATATCTGTGTGTGTGAGCAGTAACATGTTTTACCTTGAATGTTTTGTTGTTGTTTTTCTGTCGTAAAAACATCCGCAACCATTTTTAATTTTTAAACAAGATTAAGGAGATAGAACAAAATGCAATGTCAGGTATAGTAAATTAATTTTTTTTTTTTTATTAATTTAATTGTAAAAAATAAATATTTTATCTATTTTTTTTGATTTGCGGAGATATAAAATAATTCTAACCTCGTGATTAGTAGAGAGCGGTTAACAAAAAAAAAAAATTAATTAGAGGAAAAAATATATACGATATAAAAAAACGATTTTTTAATGTAAAAAGACGTTGTTTGCTATTTATCTGAACTAAAAAATAATTATACAGAGAACTGGTGGACTCTTACCTTTGAAATTAAAATCGAATTATGCTAAAAAAGGTAATAATGACATTCTTTGGGTAGGTGCTTCATATACAAACCCTCTAGGCGTTTCAGGAGATTTAATTTTAATGTATGAAGAGACTCATTACGTGTTATTTGTAAAAATGACATAGAAAAAAAGTGACCAATGATTTTAATTCGAAAAAGTAATAATGACATAATGAATAATTATAATGGTAAAGTTGCTGCTTATGAATATATTCCTCGCAAATCTATCAGAGGAGTAGAAAAGAACTTTGTAAAAATAGATTATTTTATTCTATTAGTTACAAGTTAGTGAATTATATTAAAGAAAAAACACACTAATGATCTTTCTAAATTTAGAAAAGTGAATTATATTAAAGAAAAAACACACTAATGATCTTTCTAAATTTAGAAAAGTGAATTATATTAAAGAACAAACACACTAATGATCTTTCTAAATTTAGAAAACAGAATTTATGTTGTGAATCAAGAAAATTAGATATACCAGAGGATATTGCAAAGATATTAAAAAGTGAAGAAGTAAACAAGGATATAGCATTATATAATAATAATCGTAAAGCTAAAATATTAATGTAATAAAACAACTTTTTTTAAAATCTTTCAATTAGATAAAGGTAATTATAAGTTATATAATAGAGATAGTAGAGATAATGGACTCTGTTAAAGCACAATCTCTTGCAGACCTTAGCAGTAAAAAAATAAAGTTTGATGATTATAAATCAGCTGTAAAAAAATATATAAATGAACCATTGGTTAAGCCTATACCACAAACCAGACAGTCTAAGCCAATACCACAACTCAGATCGTCTAAACCAATACCACTACCGAGACCAGCATCTAGGTCAGCAACTAAGTCTTGTCCAAAGGTTGAAGAGTCACATAAATTGAAACAGAAATTTTTAGATAAAGAATTTCACAGCTTTTTAATAAAGTTAGGTGTACTAAAGGTAGACAATAAAGACAATTAACCCGATTTTGAAATTCGAAATAAAATTATCCAGCTCGCGAATTTTGTGGCTGAATTACCACAAGGTTATAGACTTGAATTGAATGCTCTTGTATTTATAAACGAAATGGTACCAAAAATTAATGAATTAATAGAAAGTAAAACCAATAAAGATGGGCAAAAAGTTACACTGGTTTTAGTAGCTGAAATAGAAAAAGCGAAAAAATTTAAAAATTTAATGAATCCCTCTAAAACTATAAAACAAATTATTTACCTGCGCTCAGATGTAGTTATCCTAAAACTCTTGTCCTAAAAAAATTAGATGTAGCTGTATCGAGTAAATCCTAAATATATCATTAAGGATTTACTCGATACAGCTCCAGCGAAAATTAATGAACTTCTTGAAAGACTTTTTCATAAAGGTTCAGATTGGCAACTTAGTCGTTTTGAATCACTACACATTGGGTTTGCAAAATATAACCCATTCAGAGGGAATAGTTATATTAAAACGCTAGGTTACATCCCAAAGCAATGCATTATAAATGTTAAAAACATAGATAACCGGTGCTTTGAGTGGGCTATTCTTAGCGCACTATACCCTGTAGTTCCTCATGGAAAAAAGCATGCGGACCAATAAATAAAGTATAGTGAAAACCTCGGAGAGCTGATTATTGATGGTATTGAATATCCAGTAAAAGTTACTGATATTACAAAGTTTGAGCGTCGAAATACAACGCTTTCAGTTAATTTTTTTGGATAGGATAAGGGTCCATATCCTCATTACATTAGCAATCAAAAAGATAAAATAGATATTGACCTTTTACTCATTCAAGAAGAGAAATTTTATTACTTTTAGATAAAAACCTTGCTCGAATGGTTTATTATACGCAAAATACCGTTTTCACCGATGCCTTCATGTATTTAGCTCTGCTGACTTATTGAAAAACTGTCTATAATTGTTGTTAATAAAATGTTACGTTTATAAATTATTATTTATTATAAAAATTAGGAAGTGTGCTTACATAGACTGACTTAAACAGGTATAACATGCAGGGAGTGTACATACATCAACTGACTAAATAGGTAGAACATGCAGGGAATGTACATACATACTCTGATTTGATTAGCTAAAATATTCAGGGAGTGTACATACATCGACTGACTTAATAGGTAGAACATGCAGGTAGTGTACATACATCAACTAAGGGTTACGGTTTGGGCAGGTAACAAGTTAAAAAACTAGTTTGTGTTAAAAAGTGATTTAAAAATCAAGGCAAACACTTATTTTATTATATTCCGGTCATCAATTTACACAAAACTACTAACGTCAGAAAAGATTCTACCAGCTACCAAGCTATTCACTGCTAATATTACGAAAGAGACGAAGATTTCCTGGAAATTTTTGTACGATTATCAAATGAAAAAACGTTTTCTTTAATACACAGCATCTACAAATAACTATATATTGCGGAAAAATAAATCAAAAAGTTAGTTTCTATTTCCTTAACGCAATTTCAGAAGAAATTCTTAACTCGATCATAGGGTCTAGTAACTAGAGTCAAACTATCTTAAACTTAATTTGAATTCTACTTTACCCGTAATTAAAAGTTTTATTGTGCCCAACCCACTAATTATTCTAATAATAACAACTACTGTGCATGCATGGTTTCACCTAATTTTGCGTTCAAATATAAAAATTAAAGTCAAACGATATTTTGTGCAAAATGTCAACTATTATTGTGCATTAAGATACTGTATGAACTGATATTCTATGCAAACATAAAAGTACAAAATTTAATGTTCACAACTTCGATCAATATTTTATTTTTTTAATACGATTTATTAACTAAAAGAAGAGCACCCATTATTGGTATATGACGACAGGTAACATAAATGGAAACCCAACTAATACTCTGTTTAAAATTGGAAGAGATATGAGCGAAATCTATCAAAGTAATAATTAGCAGCAGTAACGTTAATACCTTGCAAGTCAATACTACATGATATCCACTATAAATGCAAACACCACATATAACCAGCGGAAATATAATTGCATACACTAGTAAAGTTCCAGTTGGTAACGCCTGCAAATATATTTGTAATTCTTCTTTACTATTCCAAATTAGAACAGCTGATAAAATAGAGAATGCACCAATAATTCTAATGCCAAACGACATAAGATTTTTGTTAGGCAACAGTTTTTCATTTGTTTCACCTAAACCGCCAGCAACCATTAAATAACAACCAATAATGCCAAAATTTCGAATTAATAACCGGATCGCAATATGCTCGCCGTGCCTAGATGGTTCGTATTCTAAGCAAGTAACAATAATTGTATGAAAAACATTGACTAAAGCGAACAACTTTTTTAGTCCAAACAAATTATAAGCCATCAATGTTGCTGACACAAAATAAAGACCTACGTGAACATAAATGTAATATTTTCTTTCATTCAAGTCAGTTGTTTTTGATTGCTCACCCGTTATTATCATTAGAAGTATGGCAGAAAGATACGGGTAGCGAGTTAAAACGAAGCACGCACTTTCAGAAGAAGGACGCATTAATATATCACGTGACAAAAGCGGATCTTTCTTATCAGATGACATTTGTTTGGCCATACTTAACACTGAAAAAAAAAAAAAAAAAAAAAATTAATGAAAATAGTTTATATATATATATATATATATATATATATATATATATATATATATATATATATATATATATATAAATAAATATATATATATGTATATATATGTATATATATATATATATGTATATATATATGTATATATATATGTATATATATATATATGTATATATATATATATATATATGTATATATATATGTATATAAATATGTATATATATATATATATATATATATATATATATATATATATATATATATATATATATATATATATATATATATATATATATATATATATATATATTCTTTGTGCCAAAATTTAAAGATAACACTAAGGATTTAAGAACGCTAAACCCGCAAAAACCTTGAACACATTAGTTAAACCATGTGCATGCAATATAAAAGAAATAGTTAAAAAACACTTATAGAAAATGTTCGTTTATAAAACAAAACTATTTTAACTTCTTTTTATTAAAACCGCTAACATTAAAACAAATAGTTCAATGTTATAAGAAGACTTTATATTAAGAAACCTGGATTAATCATAAAAACAAAATATACCAACACTATATACAATTTGATATAAAATAAAATTTAGAAAACAGTATCTATTGCTTCAAACCAAGCAAGCAACGAAGTATCTATAACAGCGTATTGATAAAAGTCATGTTCAGACAACTTTCCATCTTTATCGATATCAGCATCATGCATGATCTGGTCAACTAATTCAACAATAGCATCTTGAGTCATTGCTTCTACTGCAGACAAGCGTTCGCGGTTTTTATTGTTTTTTTTGTTTGTTAGTCCTTGGCTAGTCGAAGAATCAAATAAGTTAATTTGAATAAAAGTTTTATTTTCTTCAGACACAGATTGTGTTCTCTCGTTTTTAATAAAATTCCCAGAGCTACCAATATCAGGAATGGGTGCATTAAACACAGCTGATATTGGTCTGTTACCAGAGTCATCGTATGTAGACATCATTTCTTCTTCACATGAACGCACAACATCTCGTACAATTTCCATAGAAAGCTGATGATATGCTTGCAACATCTGTATTAGATCATCTCGAGAAATATAACCATCTCCATCGAGATCATATCCTAATATAATAAAACAAAATAAAATTTATTTAAAAATCTATTTATTAAATATATTTTTTAAGTATTGATAAATAATTTTTTTTAACATTTTTAAGTATACATTTTTAATATTATTAAATAATTTTTAAAAATACTATTAAACATCTTCAAAAAAATGCTATTAAATTTCGTTTATTTCAAACATTAAATATCTATTTTTAAATATAAAGTAATATGATTAAATCTGTCCAAAAAAAAAACATTAAAAAAAAAACACCTTAAATGTTTTAAGTTAAAACATTGTAAGAAGATTAGTTGAACAATGTTGAAAGGGTCAGAGTGGAACAACATGCCAGTTTTTAACAGACAGGAAGATTCAGTTAAGCTTTTGTTGAATAATTTAAAGAATACTGGGGAGAGTTCTGGATAAAAATTTTTCAAGACTGTAAAAATATTTGTCTTGCACTCATCCTTACATTTGAAATGTCAGGATGAGTGCAAGATTTAACAATATGAGAATACTTTTTAGAGATCTTTTTTTAATGTTATGAATAGAGGTTTGATCTTAGAGAGTACATGTCAGTCAAAACAATCTGTATGATGATCATTAAGCTACCATAACAAAGATATTGACAGAGTGGCAGATACAGATTAAAAAGTGTGCATTCTCAGGAAGAAAGTTGAAACAAAAAATTATATTATCATATATTAAAATATTAAAAAATTAAACATTTTAATATTAAATAATAAAATATCAAAATTAATAGTAATTTAGCCAAAGCAATAAACTAAGTAAAGTAAAGCAAAAATTAAGTTTTAAGAAAGCTTATTACCATTGAATATATGTTTCATGCGCTCTGCTTTTGAGCCCTTTGTTAAAACAGACATTCCGTGTATAAAATCATTAAAATTAATAATCCCATCTTTATCTTGATCATAAAACTGGAACAATTGTTGAACAACTAAATTTTTCTTTGACGTAAGTGGTCCAAGACACATTTGAAACACATCCTTTGTGATGCCTCGGTCATCATTGCAGAGTGACAAATATTGATCATATAAAACTTCAATATAAGCTGCATCAAAACTGGATTTTTCGCGAAGAACCATTATTTCATTTAGTGGCAAAGAACTTTCTAAGTTGTTTTTACCTACAAAGAAAACAATTTTAAAAACCTAAAGAAATAAAACAATTAAACATATGTTTAACTATAAACTCTGCTTATAGTAGAAAAATGTTCACACCTGGATAAAAAGTTGGCAGCATGGCAGAACGCGGATTAACTAGAGGTGGTATTGGTGTGGTGATTTTTACAAAAACATGTGTTCTCTGATGATTACATGATGGTTCACATCGAGAGCAAACATCATAGTCAACACAATTGATACATTTAAAACGAACACCAGTCAAAGGGTTAGTCCCACATATATTACAACTTATTCCACGATGAATTATATAAGTTTGTTTTGATTGCGTTTCACCAATGCTATAAAGTAGACAAAGCAATTTTTCAGCTTCCTTTTTATGGTCAACATCATTGTTCAAACAAGCAGCTTCTTCATTTTCTGAAAGAAATCTATGAACAGATGTTGGTCCAGATGGCTGTGACAAATCATTATCAACAGGGTCATTGTTAAGCATAAGGGTAGCTGATGTCAGACTATTTGAATGATGACTTCGCATCAAAGGAGCTAAAATTTTATCAATGGTACCAAAATTACATATTGGCAATAACAATTAAAACATTAAAATATTATATTAATATAAGCAAATTGATGTAACCATCATTAAAATAATAATAATGTAAAAACTATATCATTAATGTATAAAAGTGATTATAAAGAAAAAATGTCAATTAAAATTGACATTTTTTCTTTATAATCACTTTTAGTAAGTAGTAATATACTAAGTAAAATAATTTCTAAAGAATTTAGAAATTAATTTACTTTGTATATTTTTATTTTTTTTCTTTACTTGGTAATAAATAGTATCAAAATCTTAACAATTAGATATCTTTACTTTTAAAAGTAAAATATAAAAAAAAATACTTTATCATACTTGTAAAGCAAATGTTTTTTAAAGAAAGCCTTTCACAATTACAAATTACAAAACTTAAAATCTCAAACTATTTGTGGATAAGTGATGGATTAAATTTAGCAGATAATAATAGGGACTTATGCTTAACAAAGTAAATATGAAGATCAACTTATACACAAGAATGTGCTTTAAACTTGAAAAATTGGACATAGAATTCAGTTGGAAAAAAAAAAATATAAAGAAAAGAGCTTGTGAGAATATCATCCAATCATGTTAAAGTATGGAGTTAAAATAGAATTTATTATGCTTTATAACCAACTCACCTATTATGTTTTCTATTATTTTGAATGGCACTGAAGTCAACAAGAGAAGCCTATAGTTTTCAGAGAGTAACGTATTTCGATTTTTTAAAAAAGAAGTAAATTATACTCTAGTATAGTATACTCATAAGAGAGGTAAGTATATATTTCTGATGACCAGCTTTGCAGATCTTATTTATCAAATAAGCTAATGTAGATATTTTTGACTCAATTCATGAGATTCTGCCTGCACCTCCTTGATAAAAATATAAGAATTTTAACATTACCATATTTCACATGGAAGGTGTTCTTGTTAGTGCTTATGGCGTGCATTGTCGAGGCCGTATAATAAGCTCTTGAGTTGTTTAGCAGGATTAACTTTGAATTGATTAGCAAATGAGGCATTTGCATAGGTTATTGCTTACAGTGTCATATGCTATTTATGATTGAGTCAAGTTTTCTATTATTTTAAAATATGAATAAAGAACCTAAAAATACTTTTTCAATTTATCCTTTACAAATATTTATAGTTTTAATAACTTTTAATCTATTGAACCTTACCTCAAAACAGCCAAAATTTGGCTGTTTCATCTTCGGATATTGGTGTTGATGACTATTATCCTTTGATTTGCATACTTTATATACTTTATTGCTTACTTTATATACTTCATTACACACTTTACATACCTTATTGCATACTTTATATACTTTATTGTATACTTTATTGCATACTTTATATACTTTATTGCATACTTTATATACTTTATTGCATACTTTATATACTTTATTGCATACTTTATATACTTTATTGCAAACTTTATATACTCTATTGCAAACTTTGTATACTTATTTTAACCTATTTATCATGAAATCAAGTTTAAATTTATGTCTATTATTATCTTTGACTATTTTTTTATGCTTTCGTTTCGAGCACCTTTTCACTTATTCAACTTTCTATTTATTCTTTATCACTTATTTGTTCCTATTCAATAAAAAAAAACTGCAACTTTATTGTTCACATTATTCTTTTACTTCCATCAAAAAAACTGTGACTTTTTTTCGATGCTTTTCCTGATCAAATTGACCAAGCCTTTCTCATCATTCCTAAATAATTATTGGTGACTTCTAATGCTCATCACTCAAAATGGTTTAGCTCTAGTGACCCTGTTGGTTTTAAAGCTCTAAATTTTTCTCTTTTTTAATGCCTTGCTCAGCTAATTTTGTGACTTGTTTTCTAGACAATTCTAATCACTCCTTGATTTGTGTATTGCATTTGACCGAAGTTCATGCTCACCTCTAAATAAGGAGAGAAGAGAAGAGAGAAGGGAGGATAGGGAAAAACTAATTTAAAGTTTTTTTCTGATTTATTATTATTTAAATTTAATTTGGGCAATTCCTAATGTTGACGCTTATGGTTTATGTTGACGCTTAAAAGTATGTCCTGGAGCATTTTACATGTTGAAAAATTCCGCATTTTCACATTTTATCTGTCTTCACAACAACATATTGTGATATAAGTTGCTCATTCACTGATATAATAGCAGCATTTATGCTATTTGACAATACTCGCTAGCATGGTAACTGTAACAAAATCTGCACATTAAAAAGAATTAAAACACATTTAAAGACAATGAAGACTGTTTGTCAGCACTAAGCCTAATAGTTATTGAAGCAGAATAAGTATTCTCGTATAGTATAGTAGCCTCCTTATGATTTTTTTATATGGTGTATCTGAGAAAGTTTTTAAAATTATAAAATCTTTCTTTTCTAGTAGCAGAATTGAATTTATTCTTTAAAGACAATACACTTTTTCTTTATTAACCCCAGTGATATCACAAGCCTAATATTTCTCATCTACATTTGTTTTGCAGAAACCTGATTGAAGGAGTGACACCAAGTAATTATATTAATAATATTAATTAGAAAAATAATAACAATACATCATAGACACCTCTTCGATACAATGTTGCCCAATTTGTCATACCACACCTAACATGATGAGCAATTTAAAAATTTTTAAGTAAGGTTTTGTTACAGATGGGCATATATATACATTATTATATCATTTTATGTTATACAACTATTATACAAATCATACATTCAGCTATTATAAATTAATACTAAATTTTATTATCAACTATCAATATTATAATAGTGAAAATAAGAAAATAAAAGTAATAAAACATTGGAGCAGGATATTGCATAGATCTTTTCCTTTTAAAATAACAAAATTGCTATAATTTTTTTATTACTTTTGTATTTCTAAGGAATGTTTGCTCTTTGATAACAGGCTTAGTGATTTACTGATTAGTCATTACTAAATTTTAGCTGATATATTTTGTCTCGTGGCTGATAATTGCACCTCCTTTGTAATCTCCTAGGTTCAGGTAGGCAAGGAAGCTTTTATTCCTTCTTAATGGTTTTGAGTAACTAAGAAGTTACTAACTCAAATCTGATTGAAGTGGATTATTGCCATTTTAATTCCTTGTGGTATGAAGAGCATCAACACTTTGAGTTTAATTAAAAATGGCTGCTTTTTATTTTATTTGCTTTTGTTTCCAATGGTTCAAATAAAAATTATTTTGAGCCTGTCTAGTAGGGCAATTCCATTTTTTCCATCAAATATTGGTAAACATTGTTATATAAATTCTGTGAATAAAACTAAGAACAATAATGAAATTATTTTTTAATAAAAAATGTAAACTGTTTAGGAAATGGTATTTTAAGTGTTACTTTCTATCAAAAAAGAAATATAAATAGCTGAACTAATGTTTATAGCACGCTGTGTGGAACGGCAAAAAAAATAAACTTTTTTAGCCATTCTGAGTAACATTGAATTTGCAGATAACATTGAATAAAACCTGTAAATATTTTCAATTTTTTTTTCTTTGGTAATTTCTTTGCCTGTTGCTTCAACCTATGAGAGTATGATAATTTACTTTTTTTACAGGAGTTTTACCATAGTTTAATAAATTTTATTTGTCAAAAATTGTTTTTATCCTATTCCAGTGCCAGTCAAAAGTGGTGATAACATCGTGTTTTCAATTTGAACTTATTATTATTATTATATATCAGGTAAATATTTTTGTATTTTCTTGATTTATTTGTTGAATTTTAATATGAACTAAAAATAATATTAACTTTCATGTTTTTTGCCACAAAACAAATAAATAATTCCACTTAGCAAAAATATAACTAAAATCAGGAACTTTGAATATTCAATTTTACCCAAAAATGTTTTCTTTCTGTCTGGTTCTGTCTGTCATTAATAGACATCTTTTTAATGTAGTAACTTAATTAAAATAACTATTTTTAACTTTTATATTTTAATTTTTAATAATTATGCTTATTTTTATAACTTTGGCCAATATACAATTAATAAATTAATTTTTATTAATAATAGCATTCCTCTTTATATATTTAACATTCAAAAATGTCAAGAAAATATTTGAGAACTGGCACAAGAAAATAATATAAGAAATTTTCTTACCTTCCTTATGTTTGTTAAGGAGATTATAGCTGAAATAATTTTAAAAGTTAAAGTTTTTCATTCGGATTATCAACCCTCAGAATTAGGTTCAATTTTTTGCCGACCTCAAACACTACATGCCTAGGCATTCTTTTTCTTCAAACATGCTTTTTAATAAAATACCAAAACAATCATAACAAACTTTTTTTTACAAAAACATAATTGCCATTGAAGAAAATACATATGGTCAACATGCAAAACGCAATATGACTGACATTTAGAATGTGAAAAATGTCAAAATATTTTGCACCAACCTGAATTTCAAAAAAACCATTATTGAATAGAGATTTCAACAGTCCGTTTCTTTTTAATATAGCAAAATTTGCTTATACTAAATTTTTAATTTAGTAATATTTGCTTTTACTAAATTTTTTCACTTTTCGTGATTTTGTTGCAATAGATTTTGGGCCGACATCTCCTGAATTTGGGCAGGCATGAAAGCTTTAATTCCATTTTAAGTCAAACCTCACTCTACTACATGGTTTTCTTAATCTTGAAACAACTATAGGGAGAAATAACATTAGGTTCCGCTGCTAACTTAAACTTCTCAACAGCTTATTGAACAATATTACTGTTGCTGTCATTCAATTTACACTGGCATACAATTATTGTCAATTCAAAAGCTTTCTTTAAAACTCTTTTCATTATTCTATTAATTATTTAAATGGTGTTAGACTAAACCTTGTTTTCCTGCTAGAAAACAACATGTTTTTTTTTAAAAACTCTGGAGATCTGGAGACCATTCTTACTATTGCTCAGTCTTCTTACTATTATTAGCAAGATCACTTGGTCTTGACAGCTCGGTCTAGTCTCGGTTTTAATTTTATAATGTCTTTCAATCTTTAATTAACCAACTTCTTACCTTGAATTTAACAAATTATTTTCTGACAATCAATATGGATTTTGTTATCAATATCGTTCTAATGCTGAATTGTTAACCATTATAATAGAAAAGTTCTATAGTGCATTAGATGAAAGCAGAAGCCATCGCTTATGACATATCAAAGGCTTTCTAAAAAGCCTGGCATACTGGTCTTCTCCATAAGCTTGCTTTATATAGTGTATGTTTTAAGTTATTTAATTGTCCTATTCTAACCGCATAAATAAAATTTTCCTTGATAGACAACACTCTATTTCATTTCCAGTTCTAGGATACCACAGGGTTCATTCCTTGATCCTGAGTTGCTCCTTATCTATATTAATGATCTTCCTCATAATCAAATAACTCAAGTGGCTCTATTTACTGATGAAGTAACGCAACTATTTACTACAGTCTTGAAGTATCACTTTCTATTTCACCTTCTAAGATTGCCTCTATTGCCTTAGTACTTGTCATTTTCTTACTCCTGATTTCATTCTCTTCCTATATAAATCTTATATTCGTCCTTGTATGGAAAATTAATGTCATTATTGGGCTAGTTCTTCTAATGAAACTCTCTCTCTCTCTTTTAGACAAGGTCCAAAATTGCATAGTAAATGATGTTGGACCCGCTTTGGCTGCCAAGCTTGAGCCTCTGCTTAAGTGGTTGCTGCTTAAGTGAACTATCATTTCTTGTTCTACCACCTGAAACTCAATATCACATGACTCTTCATTTAGCTTCATTTTTCTACTGTAACTGTTCCTTCATGCGCAAAAAAACTTTAGATCATCTTCTCTTTTCTTTGAACATAAAAAAGCACCACTTTGGAATTCTCCTTTTTCTTCAAGATTTCCAGACTCATGCAATGTTCTGCTTTTTAAGTCTTCTGTAAACTGCTTTCTGCTCTTGCTTGCTTTTTGCAAATTGAATAATAGTTGCATGTAAATTTGGAGTAAATTCATCATTTAAAGCATTTGAAAAAACCAAAACTAAACAACTAATTTAACAACAGAAAGTTTATCCATAAAATTTTTATGATTCCACTTGTGCAGTGAAATCAATTAGTGATGTCATCAATTAATGATTTCATGATTTCACTTGTGAAGAGAAGTTAGGAAATAACTATCATTGGAATTCTGTTTTTTTTTTTATTATTTTTATTTATTTTAATATAAAATTTGATACAAAAATTTAATAAAAAATCTAAAATCAAATAATAAAAAACAAAAACAAAAATTAAAAAAAAATTAATAAAATATTATTAAAAATATATAAATACTTACCGGCAGATTGATAGAGTGATAAATGAACATCCTGCTGCTGTAGCAGAGCATTGCTTTTTCTTGGTTGTTTTCGCAACAAAGAGTAAAGTTGAACAGCAACCAAAGTTCCACTTGCACCTATCATTATACCAAGCGCTATGTGTGCGGGATGGATATTTTGCATGTACTTGTCCATCCTGCAGTGCTTAAACTGTGCGAGTCCATCAATGGTTCATATCACTATTTAAATGTGTTCCATTGTTTCATTATTTTTTGAAACAAAGTTTAAATTTTATAAAAAACTGAAGAACAAAATAAATTAAAAAATAATTCAATAACAAAAAGCAAAAAAGAAATATTAGATAAAACATATCTACAACACTTCAAACAAAAACAAAAAAAATTTGTTTAAAATTAATAAGCATGAAGTTGTTATGTATACATAACAAAACCCATGTTGATTTTTACATGTAGAGCTACAAAAAAAAAAATGTTTTTTTTTTGCCAACTAAAATTAAAACTGAACAGGAAACAATGAATAAAACAATACATACTATCAAAAAATAAAGAAGGTTCAAGATATTTATATACCTAGCACGCTATATGCTCTTGCTAGTAACCCATTCCCCATGAAACTCCATTACCCACACCGTTCTCCACTCCCCATTCCTCATCAGACCGAAAGATATCCTGGACATTATTTTTTCATCGAAAATTTAACAAATTTATCATGAGCAATGAAGGGCTTTTTGTTAAAATCTTAGTATATTAAATTCCAGATTATGTAAAATTTATAAAATATTTTATAAATACAGAAGCAGAGGATTGGATTGAATTGTGTTCTTGTAAAAACTGTTTCAAGAACATCTAATCTGGCAATTTTATTTACTAAAATTTAAAGCTAAAATATAAAATATTTATATTGTTTAATAACTAATAACATAAATATATATATATATTTTAGTTTTAACATTTGTGTGACCACTCTTTTATGGTTTGTATAGGTTTCCACTATGCTATGTTAAATGAAATTATGAAAGAGTTGAAGCAATTTTTTACAACCAAATACTTTTCCTAGAATAAACCTTTTTTGCAGATCAGACCACTGAGTAATTTTAATAGGATAAAAAGTTTATCACCCAAGTTTTACCCACATTTGCATGTATCAGAGTATTACATGCATACTGCTTGTAATTTGTAACTGCTTGTAATTTGTAACTGTTGTAATTTGTTTAACATCTTAACCTGATATCAAAACAAATATTTCTAATAAAATTTTTAAAGAAATTTTTTTTTATTAGAAATTTTATTGAAACTTTTTATTAGAAATTTTATTGAAATTTTTTATTAGAAATTTTATTGAAATTTTTTATTAGAAATTTCAAAAAATTTTTTTACTTAAATTTTTTTTTTTTAGCATTTTCACTTCCAACAAGGCTGCAAGCAACCACTACTAGAGTTGGAAGTTATTGGAAGAGAAAATATGAAGATAATGATTAAAGTATGACTTAAAAAATTGTAAATTATTTAAATCAGGAAAACAAGATAAAGGAAGCCAATTCCAAAGAACTGATGTTCAAGGAAAAAACTAGACAAATAAGAATTTTTGGAGCACTTAAAAACAGTCACAGTAAAACAATAAGATTTTGAATGACAAGTAACATGAGAATGAATTTTAGTAGATGGCAACGCAATTGAATTTTAATAGATGGCAAACGCAAGCTCTTTAGAGCAGCGCCTGTTATAGTATTTACAAGACAAAAGAGAAAGAGAAGCAACATTCTGACAATTTGACAATGGTTGAAGGTTGGCTGAAATTTTTTATCTAAAACCTATTTTCCAGACAAATGGGTGAATTCTTATGCATGTGACTATTGCAGTTTTTACAAATTTCTTTACAAAACTCAGAGTATTGGTTACCATTGATTACCACAGCAACCATTGTTTATCATTAGACATCATAACTAGGTTCAATAAAGCTCATAGCAAAAAATAAGATTTTTTTTAGACATTCACTCAATGTATACAGCACAAATATAAATTGCTTTTCATAAAAGAGTATATCTGACATAATAAAATTCAACCAGCATTTTAAAAACTAAAACTTGAATATATTGTATGTGTAACTAAGCAACTATGTGTTATGCCTACTATAAATTTTTTTTTTTTTAGTATCTTTTGCTTTAAGATTCATTTAATTTAATGATTTATTACTGAAAATTCCAAACAAGGATTGCATTTACCTACAGATAATTAAAATCTACATCTGTCACATACAGATAACTAAAATCTACACCTACCACCTACAAATATAGTTAAAATATTTCTAGCTGAGTGAGAAAAAAAAGATCAAAATTATTAAAAAATATTTATTTTATAATTCTTTCAAACTATGATATGGTCAACTAAAAAATAATAAATATATTAAAAATAATTGATACAAATTTAAGCAAAATAAAGACTTTTAAACTATTTTCAATGAAACATACAAAACAAAATAAAGAATGACAAGAAATAACAACCATCTGATATATAAAAACAGATTGCACATTTCTAAAAAAAGATAAATAATTTAAAAACCTAATAACTAAAAAATATTTGATTAGAAATTTTTTTTTTGCAAAGTTCGAAGAAAAAAAAGCACTCAAATGCTTCTTTTAAAAAAAAACAAAAGTATAACTTCATACAACAAATAAAAACATTCTTGCACAAAACCAAGCTAAAAGAAAAAAAAAAGAAAACAAAACAAAAAAATATTAATAACTTTTAAAAAATATTTGTAATTATATATATAATTCTTTAATTTCTTCTGTAAGTGAAATTTAACAAAAACACATCACAAATCTAGCATGAACATTGGTTATACACAAGCATGTTTTGCTTAATATTATTAATATTATATATATATATATATATATATATATATATATATATATATATATATATATATATATATATATATATATATATATATATATTATAATTATCATACAAGATGTAAGTATATATGTAAATATATATACATATATATGTATATATATATGTATATATATATATATATATATATATTTATATATATATATATATATATATATATATATATATATATATAAAATATATATAAAAAGCATGAAATGTCATATGTAAGTATTATATATACATCATATATAATATTTATACAGACTTTTGAGTGTTTTAAAATTTTTATGTTTCAAAAACAAAATTTACATCAAATTCACAAGAAAAAATTTAGAAATTGATTTTTAGAAGAAACACAGCATCTGCGACAAGAAACATTTATGTCAACAACTCTTTAATGTCCCATATCTAAATGTTAAAACATATTTTTTTTTCATACAAATATAAATCAATTCAATTTTTATTGAATTGATTTATATTATATAAGTAAGACATAACAAAATAAAATTTTTTTATTTATAATTGCTTTATACTATCACCAAAAAGTTTTACCTTGACAAGCTCATCAGTTCCACATGTTAACATTCTTTTTTTTGAAAGGTCAACACTCATGTGCTTAATCAAATGTTTTATATCATGAAAGCATGTAGTTGAAATTTTTCTGAAACAAGTTTTAAAAATAATTTGTATTTTATTGAATATAGTAGTAAATTTAAAAAATAAATCACCCAAGGCTAGGGAGGGCCCTACTTTGACAACTACTGGTGTCAAAAGATGGAGCATATGGAAACTGCTTAATTCTAATGCTCATTTAATTATCATAAATATTTTTATTTTCCTTTTCCAAAAGCTAAAACTCCAAAATACAAATCTTGACTAGCAAGCAAGCAAGCTGGTTTAAATACAAACAAAGTTTAGCAAGACAATACCAGAGGTGTGATAGGAGTTACCTCAAAACCAAGGGTATTAGAACAAAAACAGGCGCTCAGCCAAAAAACTACAAAAAATACAACTACAAATAAAAAAAATACAGTTAAATCCTTACTCTTCATCTTTAGTAGAATTATAACAGTCACCACAAACACGAACATCGTACTCATATCCTAGATTAGGAAGCACTGACACATAAGAGCTGCATTTCATACACACAGCACGTCCACACTTTCTACAGTGATGCTAAAAGTATAATTATAAAAATTCAATTTTCTAAACATAGAATTAAAATGAAAAAAAAAAACGGACATTTTACTAACCTGCCTCACACCAACAGCTTTTTCCTCCCACATTTGCTTAAAGTTCCAAAAAAAGGGTGTGGCACATTTCTCACACATATCACTCTGAGACCATGTAGGTGTTTCAGCTCTTTCTGTCTTCATATCCCACACTGTCAATTTACAATCATCAGCAATTGTAAAAAGCTTTTGAGCATGAGTTGCTAACGACATTGTTCTTATTTTCTCACTAATCCAAAAAAGTATTATTTTTTCTTTTTGTTAAACAAGAAATTTTATTGTAGTCACATTGATTGAATAATTATAAGAATTTTCATAAGTAACCAAGAAATTAAACAAATATATAATTAAACAACTACTAACTTTATTATATAAAATAATATTACACATAATATATTAAACAGATACTATTGAGTGTGTTAATCAATTTTTAGTGTTTAAATATAATTTTTTACAAAACAAGTTAATAAGATATAAAAACAACAAACATAGCTCTAAGCTAACTGTTTTCAATTTAAAGCACCTACTAATTAAAAAACAAAACAAAAACACAACTATCCAAAGCATACATAACATAAAATCAAAAAACTTAAATACTAATTTGCCACATTTCAAAGTTTTATTTTTGTTCTACAAAATTATAATACGCAGCAATCCTTTTCACATTTCAATTTTGAAACTTTTTTATAAATTTACCATCAACATAATTAATTCAAAAATTTAAAAGAGATTTTAAAGAGAAAATGAATTAAAATATTAAAAATATAATCAATAATTTTAATATGTATGTATAATATGCACTAACAGTGTGGCTAACCTAACAATATTACTTATGATGCGGCTTTTTTTAAAATGCTATCAAAACATATGTATATTAAATGGGTATATAAAAAAGAGAAAAAATCTATTTGTAAGTATTATAAGTAGTTTTCTTGTCATTATAAGTGATTTCCTTTAAAAAAAAACTTTCAAATATTTTATTTAGTTTATCTTTTTATAATGAAATAAAGGTAAAAATAATTAAAACAAATTGTTTGGAGGTGCAAGTGAAGTAAAGTTGAAAGAAAAGTGAAAAACGGTACTTCAATAATTAAAAACTTGCATAATTAGTTAAAAATGCATATAATTAATTAAAAATGTGCATTATTATGATATTCTAAAATAAATTAAAATTAAAATCAAAATTAAATTATGATCAATGAATAGAGTTTTTATGTTATTGTTTTGATTTTTTTATATTTAAGTAAAAAATAAATTTATTTGAATTTAAACTTACGTATGACCGTGCAGTTCATATGCAGAGCCTTTCTGGCCACCTATGTCCCAAATAATGATTGACTCATCAAAACTTCCAGAATACAACCATTTTTTCTCCATATCCCAAGATATACATTGAACACTTCCTGTATGTATGTATGTATGTATGTATGTATATATATATATATATATACATATATATATATATATATATATATATATATATATATATATATATATATATATATATATATATATATATATATATATATATATATATATATATATATATATATATATATATATATATATATATATATATATATATATATATATATAACTCAGATTTTATTAATAAAAAAAGTCATTACATTCAGATACATACAGAACTAACATGTTATATTAGTATCATGTGTACTTTGCAGCATTGTAATAGTAGTATTATATATATATATATATTTATTTAATTTTAGGTGCCCCAAGAAGTCCGTGCGGTCTTATCACAGAGCACCTCATGTCAGAAGTCTGATGCTATACTGAAATAGTCATATACCAGGGGCTTCAGTACATAAATTGACTGATTAAATAGAGAGAACAAGCAAGGGAGTGCTACTACATAGACTTCGGGTTTGGGTTGGAGCAGAAACTGTTATTAATTATTCTTTATTTTTATTTTTTTTTCCAAAAAAACTTTAGTAACAGTTTTTTTTTCCAAAAAAACTGTCACTAAATGTATAAAAATATGCGCTATATAAAACATGTATATATACAGTCAGCGAAATTTGAAGGATTTCATTTTTTTGCTTTCTGCTACGATAGGGGTAATGATTAATTGATTATAAAAGGATTGCTTTATAATAGCATAGCTTCAGACAACAATATTTTAAAGAATGTAGCAATTAAATTTTGTGTAGTAATTTAAGTATATAGCAAATTTATGAATTAGTGATTTTTTAGTTTTTAAGTTGTTGTTTTTCTACAAAAATAATGTTCATAGTTTATTTATTTCATTTTAATTGGTTTTTTAGATTGCTCATAGAAAGAACGTTGTTTAGAAATACAAATTTAGTTTATGTGCTGAAGGTGAAGATTTTATTTAAAACGGAAAATTGTTTAACAAAATGAGTAGACAGATAACATCCGGTTTGTTTACCTCAACGATAAATAAGCATTTATTTCTCAAGTAGTAAGGGTGGTGTTTTTTAACATTTAATTGTAGTATAGTATGAACTTGTAACTATATGTAAATTGATGGAGGGAAAACAAAAGTTAAAAATACTAAAAATAGTTGTTTTTTCTTATATATAAACATTGTTTTTGCGCAATGGCGATTGTCTTATTGACGTATTTTCATAATTTACTCATTATCAAATTTTTCTGTCCAATCATCATTAAGTTTTTTTTTTTTATAACTGATGTTCCCTGTACAAACGTTTCTGTTGCTAATTTAGCACAGTCTTTATTTTTATTATAACAATTTTTTTTAAAAGCTCTGAATACTCTTGGCAAGTTTTACACCATATTAAAAGTACTTCACCTGAATCATTAGTTTGAAATCTGCAGGATTTAAACCCCCATTTTTTAGTGACAGTTCTGTTTAGCATTATGTCTTGTTTCAAGCTTGCTTAATGTAATTGTATTATAATGTAGTTGTGTCTATTGCAATTTAATAGAAGCTTTAACTCTTATTAAATTAAAAAAAAGTTTTGTAATTAATGTTTCTTCTCCGCATGTGTTTAACATCAGGGTTAGGTTAAACTTTCATAATAGACTTTGCTGATCTTAAATAATATTTAAAAAACTGTAAACATGCTTGAATAAATTTGAGAAAAAAAGATTAAAAAGAATTGAAAAAAAATGAATAAATTTTTGTTTTAATAAAATATTTCAAACTGAAAAGCAAGTAATTACAATAAAAAAAAATATAAAATAAAATTTTTATATTAATATTATTTTATAGTTTTTTTATTTAAAGTATTTCGATTTGCATGCTGACACTTTAGGATATTCAGGTCGGCAATTGCCAACCTAAAGCAAAGATTGGTCAGCTTTTGTGTCGGCATTGCCGAATGCCGACCTGAATTTTGCTGACTGTATATATATATATATGTATATATATATAAATATATATAGATATGTATGTATATAAATATGTATATATATATATATATATATATGTATGTATATATATATATATATCTACTATAGCATATTTATATGCGCAATTGCTCACTTTTTTTGCTAGCCTAAATTAAGTGAGCATTTTTAGAAAACGATGAGAGAAAACGAAGAATAATGAATGAAAATGTTGCTGACCCATACCAAACCCTCAGTCGATGTAGCAGCACTCCACGGCAAGTCAGGCTATTTGTCAGTTAATGTATGTACTGAAGCCCCCGGCAGCAGGCTATTTGACATTAGGTGAGTATGACATCATCATGCTCACCTAACTCAGCAGTATAAGATATATAAGTATGTATATATATATATATATATATATATATATATATATATATATATATATATATATATATATATATATATATATATATATATATGTATATACAACCCTCAGAACTAGGAAAAACGAGGCTGGCAATAATTTGAGGACCTCAATCTTTTAGAGGTCGGCATCAGGTCGGCAAAAAAAATTTAATACAAATATATATATATATATATATATATATATATATATATATATAATATATATATATATATATATACAGGGCTCGAAATAACGAACATTTTTGTTCCGGACATTTTGTCCGATAAATACTCAAGCTTATTCACCATTCCTGAGCAGGTCTAAAATATTTTGTTTTTAAAACATGACCACGGCAGTTTGTTTTGAGAACTAAAGGCGTTTCAAAATGCGCTGAAAAGAAAAAAAAATTAAAAAGATAACTTAAAAAAAAAATCTTAAAGGAAAAGGAAAAAATCTAAACTAAAAAAACTAAAATTTGAAAAGGAAAATATATTTAAATTACATTTTTAAAAAATTTACTATAGTATGCGAAATACTTTGTAAATTATTATTAATATATTAAATACATAAATTATTGTGTTTACTTATTACTTTATTAAAAAAACAAATAAATTAATTCTAATGATTGTTATTTAAGTTATTAATTCTAATGAATGTTTATTTAAATTATCAAAGAATATTATACATTTATATAAATATGTATTTTCTAATACCTAATGTATTTATTTATATAATATGTATTTTTGAATAAATCTTTTCAAACTTTTTCTATGATTACTTTTATAAACACTTTTAATAGCGAAAAACTTTAGCAAAAACAAACATTACATGACATAATTTAAATTTAATAGTGTAATAAAAAGTACTGGTTCCTATAAGCATTAAAAAAACTATTACGATAAAATTTTTATAAAATAAATAAGGGGTTTTAAAAGCTAAAATATTCCTTTTGAAATTCATAAAGATCATCGGACAAAAAATAAAATAAATATTGAAATATAAATTTAAACTAATAATTAATTGAAATATTGTATATAAACAATAAAAATCAGGCTGCTTAAACCTAAAAAAATTTAATGCTTAGGCGTCTACATTAAAAAAATTATATATTTCATTAATGTAGCTGAGTATTCAACTTCATTTTCTATTTTGTATAAAAAAATAAAAAATTAAAAAAATGAAGTTTATATACGATTCTGAGTTTATTAGTAATTTTGGAACAACTAAAATGATTATAAAATAAATGCACACAAAATATGGGTCGAACATAATGATTAACAGATGTCAATTTTTATTGGACATGTGCCGGATAATGTCCACCAGCAGATTCGAGCCCTGATATGTATGTGTGTGTGTGTGAGTATATATGTATATATATATATATATATATATATAATATATATATATATATATATATATATATATATATATATATATATATATATATAAATTATATTAGTGTATTCTACAAATAGAGTGCTCAATGTTTATCTAATGTAAGTTCATCAGGAAGCCTGATGAACCTACTGATGGTGAAACATGCTGTTGAAGAGCACAAAAATTAGATAAGTGTTTTTACTAAATTATATAAGGTGAAGTGGTTAAGGCCATTGCTCTTGACATTTCTAAAGCGTTTGATAAATTTTGGCATGCTGGTCTTCTCCATAAGCTTTCTTCTTATGGTCTATCTGGAAACATCTTTAAGATTATTGAATCCTTCCTTTCCAATCGTAGTATAAAAGTTGTCCTTGATGGACAGCACTCTTCTTATTCTGTAAACTCAGGGGCTCCTCAAGGTTTAATCCTTGTCCCTAGACTTTTTTTAATTTACATTGATGATCTTCCAGATATTCTCACATCTAAGGTGGAATTGATCGCTGATGATACTACCATTTATTCTTGTCACGATAAGAAGCCAACTCCCTCTGATTGCTTGCAGAGGGCATTTGAACTTGAAAAGGATCTCACTTCTGCTACAGCATGGGGCTCACAGTGCCTGCGGAACTTTAATTCAGGCCTTGCGATAAAGCGTCGGGCGATGTGAATTTTACGTCTTCCTAGAGCGATTTTGCGTGTAGCTAGGGCTATTTGCGTCGAGCAAAAAATTTTTTGTTTGAGTATATTTAAAGATATTTTTGAGCGGAATTTTAATGAAGTAATTTACGATTATTTTAACATTTAATAAAGTATTTTAAAAACCGCACGCTGTTGATATAAAAGATTGAATTAAAGAAAAATTAAATATGCTCATTATTTACAAGTAGAAAAAATTCAGATAAAAAAAAGCTAACATTTAAATAAAATTATTCAGCAATAGCAAAGTTGTCGATAACAATTGCTTTTTTGTTAGAAGTTACCAAAACTCAACAAAGCGTGCTCAAGAGCAGCTGCTGAAAAATGGAGCGTCAATAGTTTTTCCAATAATTTTTAATAATAATTTTTAAGAATAATTTTTTCGCTAAAATATATCTTTTATACCTATAAGATTTTTATTCTAACATTTTCTTTTATTTTATTTTACCAAAAATAAAATTCCTTGTAAACATTAAAAATCTATTCAAAACGATCGTTAAAGTTTTTTAGCAATACGAGTGATTGTGCTTATCAACCGCTTTATGAAAATAAATAAAAATAAATAAATAAAAAAATATTATATAAAATTGCTAGTAAAAATATTAGCTATTGCACATTTTTTAATCGTACAATATTAAAATTTCCAGTTTATTACTCGCTGACTTTTTAAAAAGAAAAAATAATTACTTGAAAAACTTTAAATTACATATTTGAGAAAAAAAAAATCAAATATTAGCATATTTTATAATCTTTTTTAAATGTTTAGTTATAATGTTTTTTATTCGTTTAGTATAGACAAAACGTGTCAAATGTGGAGAAAATAAACAAATGTTTCTACATTTTAAAAAACGAAACATTCCAAAACATTTTTAAATAATAACATTTCTACATTAATGATTTAAAGTAGTTTTGCGGTAATTAAGTAAATTGGTGCAGTTAATGTCGATAAATATGAAAAGCAAATAAAAAGAATTTAATGACGTCAAAAATCACGTCGTGCTTATGCGTCGCGCAGTTTTTATTCATCACAAGGCCTGTTAATTCAGATAAAACTTAATTTTTTTCAGCCAATCATTATTGCAATAATTTAGACCTTCCTATATTTATGAACGGTAATGTGCTCGATGAGTCGTCTACCCTTCATCTTCTAGGATTGACTCTTGCTTATGATCTTTCTTGGAAACCTTGTATCGGAAATATTGCAAAATTAGCATCTGCTAAAGTTGCATCTCTTTATCGAGCTCGACACTTTCTAACTCTGGATTCTATTCTCTATCTCTATAAATCTCAAATCCGGCCTTGAATACTGTTGCCATATCTGGGGCAGATCTTCATGATGTTCTTTCTCTTTTAGACAAAGTGAAAAAAAGCATTGTAAACATAGTTGGACCTGCTCTTGCAGCCAACCTTTAACCTTTGTTACATTGTCGTAATGTTGCTTTTCTTTCTCTTTTCTACAAATACTATAATGGGCACTACTCTAAAGAGCTAGCACCTCTTGTGCTATCAAATAAAATTCATTCTCGTGTTACTCGTCATTCAATTAAGTCTCATCCTTTTTCTGTTACTGTTCCTAAGTGCTCCAAAAACTCTTATTCTTCTTGTTTTTCCCCTCGAACATCAGTTTTTTGGAATTCGCTTCCTTTATCTTGCTTTCCTGATTCATATAATTTGCAATCTTTTAAGTCGTCTGTCAATCCTTATCTTGCTCTACAATCTTCATCTTTTCTCTTCCAGTAACTTCCAACACTAATTAGTGATTGCTTGCAGCCTTGTTGGAAGCGAAGATGTTTAAAATATATATATATATATATATATATATATATATATGTGTGTGTGTGTGTATATATATATATATATATATATATATATATATATATATATATATATATATATATATATATATATATATATATACACACACATATATATACATATATATACATATATATATATATATATATATATATATATATATATATACAAATACATATACATGTATGTATGTGTATATCTACCAGGACAAAAATAAAAAAAATAATAATAGTGAAAATAACATAATTAGTAAAAATAATCTATAATTGAATCATAAAACAATATGCAGGAACAAGAACATGATTATTTTATTTATAAAAAACTTACATCAATTTTTCATCAGTGTGTTAGAACAAGTCTAATTTTTAAAGTTTGTAAAAGTTTGCTGAGTTTTAGAAACTTTAAACGTGTTAACTGGACTATTATGTAACTGGACTTTAAACGTGTTAACTGGACTATTATTACTTTAAACGTGTTAACTGGATTTATTATGGATTCTAGATAAATATTCTGTGTTATTAGGGATTACTATCTATTATTCTCATTCATTTTATTTATTTTTAAATACTACTGGACAAACTAACTTTTGTGTTTAATTAGCAAGAAAATCTAATAGCACGCTATGGCATTTGTGAGATTTTCTAATTTATAAAAACTCCAAATCAAAGTTCAAAATCAAACTATTTAATAATACTTTTAAAAACCTGGAGTAAAAGTCCAAGGAGTGTTTTTCCCTCAGAGTTCAGAGCAACATTTAAAAAAGTGCCGCCTTAAGGCGGTGAGGCACTTATTTAAACAGTGACTACAGTCAAGTTTTAAAAAACCTTGCAAAAAGTGCACGCCTCCCCGCAGGGCTTTTTTAAACCTTGGTTAAGAGTCCCGAAGTTCAGAAAAATTAACCCCACATCCCTGATGAAGAAGGAAAACTATGTATATTGAAAAGAAGTTGAAATTTGTATATTGAAAAGCTAAATGTTGCATATTAAGAAGAAGCTGAAGACTAGATAAAGTTAAAAAATAAATCTATCCTAAACACTTTTTCCTTTGCTGACTTTACTTATTGCATCACCTCAACTTCAAGCATTGTGGAGTAAGTGACTGTGAAAGAAAACCTTTACAGATATTAGCAAAATTAATATTTTTATATTAATAAGGCATGTGCCCTACATAAAATATTAAAAACCAAAATTTTAAGTTTTAGTACACATTTTATACACACACTGTATACTAAAAATTTGGACAATAACAAAATCTACTTGAATAAGTCATAATTCATTGTTTTTAATTATAAAAATTATACTGTATACAAAGAAAAACATTTTAAAAAGAGTTTAAAACACAGTCACTATATGGCACCAAGAAAATTAAGTATTAGTAAGATTTGAACCCGCAACCAATGCCAATATAACAGTTGCGTCTCATAAATGATGTAATTAATCAACCTACATAAGTGCTACATAAATGCTGCGATATAGAAAAAATTATTAGCTTTAAACTATTAGTTAAAACCTTTTTAAATAAAATTAATTTTGTTTGAACTATTAATTGAGACGCTTCTAAATTAAAAAATACATTAGTTTTATGCTTTTACTTTCTCTGGTTTATGCTTTATTTATTTTATTATTCATTAAGTATCTCTTTTCAATTATTATTTGTTGATTTTTAATTTTCTTTTTAAATTAGTTTGATTTTTTCAGCGCAATTTTTTAAACAAGCTTATATATATATATAATTTTTAAACAAGCATATATATATATATACATATATATATATATATATATATATATATATATATATATATATATATATATATATATATATATATATATATATATATATATATATATAACCTGTTATTTAAAATGATGAATCAAACAAAACTGTAGTTCTAATAGTTTGAAATTTTAATAGGATTTAAAAATATTAGAACTTCTAAAAGTTATTTTTTAAAAACTTTGATTATAAATTTTGTAAATAACAAAAGATTAACTTTTTGATTTGGTTAAAATTAAAGCTAATATTTAATTTATTAATGCAAGGTAAACTGATTTTAATCTTAATATGAGAATGCCATAAAACAAATTCATAAAAAAAATAAACAAAAAGTAAAAAAACAAACAACCTGAATGGCCTTTTAATGTAGTTATAACTTTAAGATTTTCAGTACTCAGTTTTAGTATATGTATTTCACCAGAATCGTCACCCATAAAAACATATGATGATTCTATGTCAAATCTTTTTCATTCATCAAAGAAAGGTTCTTAAACAAGTAATTCTCTAATGATGTTAGAAAAACTATTTTAAAAATAATCAACTCTAACCTTCTATTAAAACTTTACTCAGCAAACAAAATAATGAATATGAAAAAATCAATTAATTAAATAGAATTAAAATGCCAAATACAAAAAGGCATCAACCTAAATCTACAGGCTTGGTTGGGAAGCAGGAGGGATCGCTCTCGAATACTGACCACGGAAATTATATTAAGTTGCGAAAAACTGGCCATGTTTTTTAGTTGTTTTGAGAACATTTAAGTTTATGAACGAAACAAAAAAATTTTGTTTTACGGACATACATGGAAACATAAAAAACTTGAATGTTCTCAAAACGTCTTGGTGTGGAAGAGTAAAAAGAATATTCGTGAACACTAAAACCCTGCCAAATTAACGAACAAACTAATTCTATTGGTTCAAAAAATATGCTGACTAAACAAAATAAAGTTCTAGAGTACTCTGTTGAAATATTTTAGAAATTGTATTATTCATGATTTGTTACGTTTTGAGATTTCTAGCATAAATTGTTTTAAGAATATATATTATTTGTTTACAAAAATAAATGTTTTAAATATATATTAAATTGTAAAAATTTTGAAAGTTTATTATAAATTATAGATTTTATTAGTATATTTTTATTTTTTTATTTAAAAAGTATGTATTCATTATGTAAATGTAATTTTGTGTATCTGTTTTTTATCGTAATGTATCTTTTAAATTTTTATGATTTAAACAAAGACTTACAAAAATAATTGCGCTTTCAAAGAAGTTATAATCATTAAAGTTAATAAAACTAATTATGTAACAAACATATAAGTTTCTGGTTACTAAACATAAACAACGCATACAAAGTAACTCGCAGATGAGCAGGCACCGTGCCTGAGGTCACGACAGAACACAAATTTATATAGCAAATTATTAGATATAAAGAAAAGTTTCTAGATATTGGTTTACTAACTCTAATTATTTTCGCTTAAGTTGCCATTCTTAAAACTCTTTATACTTTTTTTCTGCTTTAAATACTAACTAAAATTAGTAAGCTTATTCACTAAACATCATCAGCGATATTGTGAAGCAGTTTCGCTTCCTTATCATAAAGTATTTTTAACCTTTTTAGTTTATTTCTATCTAGTTAATTTAATTTCTATAGTAATTCAATGATTTAATTATTTCATTTGTTTATCTCACTAAGAATTACTTCAAATATGTTAAACTTTTCAAACTACGCAAAACATAAAATTGGTATTAAAAAAATTGACTTTTTAATTTATAAAATAATTTAGCTTAAATAAAACTAAAACTTACAAACTTTGTTAAATAAAGAACATTTGTTTCTTTTTTTTAAACAATCGTAAGATGTTACTTTATATAAAAAATGTCATTTAATTTTATAAATAAAATTATAAAAGAGCGATGGTTTGAAAATATTTGTTCTAAACGTAATTTATTTTTCTTTAAGTTTTTTTCGCGTTATAAGATAATTTATTTTCCTAATTTTTTTTTTTGTAATTGTCTCTCATAGGTCCAATTAATCTATCGCGCATTTTTTTTTTTTTGCTTTTTGAAATTGTACAAAACAACTAAAAAATCTTGCCAGCTTTTCGCAACTAAATATTATTTCTGTGGTCAGCAATTGAGAGCGATCGCTCCCGCTTCCCGACCAAGCCTGAATCTACAAAGTAATTAAAAAAGAAAAAAGAGAAGAATAGCCTTCATGATATGTATACATAATATAAAAAATATATTTTAATATAATATATTTTTTCAATTTTATATAAATAATCCGTTTGTTTTCACTTTTGTGTGAATTGGACTAGTTTCCATTTTGCCATTTTCTAAGTTAAATGACATTATGGAAGACCTAAAGCAAATTTTATAACCAGATGTCCATTCTGGCATTTGAAAAACAAAATTACTTTTTTTTTTAAACTAATCAGTAAAAAATAAGTAAATGAGAAAAAATAAGGGAGGGAAAAAATGAGAATGAAGAACAATTATATTAGAAGAACAGAAACAAGATAATTGTATTTATTTGTAAAATGTATATAATTGTAATAATTAAATGAAATTAATTGAAATTAATAAATGTAATTTAATTGTAATCAATGCAATTAAACTTAATAACTAAATATAACTATGATTATTAATTAAAACAATTAAAAGTACTATTATAACTAAAAAGATACTGCAAACAATTGCAATGTGATTTTGCTCCATATCCACCTAATCTTTTACCAGTTTTTGTGCAATGCCATTGAAAGTATTTATCATTACCACAGCTCAGTATCCAATTATAGTCCAAGGTGAATAAAACAGTGTTTACATTAGAAGTATGAGCTAAAACCAAATTAAATAAAAATAAAACAAATTATAAAAAACAGCACAAAAATAAGATTTAAATAATTTACTTTTATTAGTATTCAAAATAGGTTTGCATGGTTGGCCAGGAGTTCCTACTATCAGCTGGAATCCTTATTTTCAACTGGAGTTGGAAGAAACTTTCATGTTCAGTTTGGTAAAAAAAAAAAATAAAGAGAAATTCCTGTTTTCAGCTGAAGTTAAGAATTCTATAAATTTTACACAAATTTTGACCATCACAATAAACAAGGTTTAATTTCTAAGAATAAAATAAGCATTTTGAAACACTTGTTTAAAAGTCCATATATATATATATATATATATATATATATATATATATATATATATATATATATATATATATATATATATATATATATATATATATATATATATATATATATATATATATATATATATATATATATATATATATATATATATATATATATATATATATATATATATATATATATATATATATATATATATATATATATATATAATATATATATATATATATATATATATATATATATATATATATATATATATATATATATATATATATATATATATATATATATATATATATATATATATATATATATATATATATATATATATATATATATATATATATATATATATATATATATATATATATATATATATATATATATATATATATATATATATATATATATATATATATATATATATATATATATATATATATATATATATATATATATATATATATATATATATATATATATATATATATATATATATATATATATATATATATATATATATATATATATATATATATATATATATATATATATATATATATATATATATATATATATATATATATATATATATATATATATATATATATATATATATATATATATATATAATAGGGCTGTACCGGATTTTGGCTCCGGCCAAAATCTGACCGTTTTTACAAATCCGGCCAAAATCCGGCTCTGGCAAAAAGTTAGCAAATCCGGCAAAATTTTAGTCGGATTTCTAAATTTTGGTCAGACATTTATTACATTTTTTTTGCCCGTGTTTACATGTATATTCAATATTTTATTTATTCAAATCAATGTTCTTTGTAATTCTATATTCTATGAACTCCCTGTTTGTAATGATATCTGTATTTACATTTATTTTGCAATTTAATTAGTTAAGCCTAATTTCAAATAACAACTCAACAAAAATTCTGAAAAGAATACACACGATATTCTTAAGAGAAAAAACACAATAGAGTCTGAAGTGAAGACACAAATTTGGTTAAATATACATTCAATAAAGTTACGGTGCAGAACATAATAGACACAACAGACATAAGGGCGAAAAAATATCAAACGATCAAAAACTTTAATTATTTGCCATAAACTTTTTTTTTTTTGTTTAAGGCATGTAAACAAAATTTTTAATTTTTAATATTTGTTTTAAAATAAAAATTACTTATTTATTTGATAATAGTAGATAAACAACCGCTCTGACAAAGTTATAATTTTTTTTCAAAATTTTTTTTAAATAGTCAATAAATAATATAAAATAAAACTTTGATGTCAAGTATTTAACATTTGTTTTTAGTTAATATTTAATTGCTTTAAAGCAAACAAGCAATTATTTTTCATTACATCTGCCGGCGGGAGGCAAATATTTCCGGCTCCAATTTGACGGCTGCAGCCAATTAGGAGGCAGAAGCCATTGGAGGCGGCCTCCAAATGGCTTTGCCTTCAAAATTTCTTTTGGAGGCGGCCATTGGCTTTTGCCACTCTATTGGCGTTGGCCTCCAAAACATTTTGCCTCCAAAAAAGAACTCCGGCTGCGGCCGCCAATAGAAAAGCGGAAGCCACTGGAGGCGGAAGAAAGAACATTTTGCCGCTAAAAATTGATCGGGAGGCAGCAGCTGTTTGCTGAGGAAGAAAAGTGGAGGCAAGAAGATTTACGCTGTTTATCAACACTGCTGTATACTATAAAGATAAATAAAATGAGTAAGCAATTGCTATCTATATACGCTATAGTATATTTATCATAGATGAGTATTTGACTTTGTGAAAATCACGGAAATTTTTTTTTTAAAAAAATCCTGGAAAATCCCAGCAAATTATTTTATTAAAAATTGATCGTATTAACTGACAACAAAAACTTTTGTAAACTTTTAAAATGGAATTTGGATTATTTTACTTTTTACAAAAAGGAATATCTAACATTCGAAAAAGTTAATTTGAATGAATTAAAAAGTGAAAAAAAAAGAAAAAAAATTGTTACGAAAATTGATCCTGTGAAAATTTTATTTATAGAAAACATATTTGTCTAAATGCAAAAGTTGTCATACTTAAAGTTTTATGTAAAAATATATAATTTTTTTTTCAAATTAATAACAAAAAACATCTGCAAATTTCTGGAAAATTAAAGGAGTTTTAAGTGAATTTCCAGAATTCCCGGAAAAAAATCATCTATGATTTATATTCCTATAGTAAAGACTTTATATTTACCATATATGATAAAAAACAACTCTTAATAACTCATTGATTATAAAAAAAAAACAAAATTAAGTACATTTTATGAAAAACCGTTAAATTTAATTGAGGGAACTAGTTAAATTTTATCATTTTTTTAAAAACCCTCAAAAACAAAACTTAATAAACTAGAATGCTTTTTATTTTTTTAACAAATTGTTTTTATTAATGAAATGAAATTGATAGTGCATAACGCTTGTTAATGGTAAGTTTTAAAAGCATCAAAGTGCAGAGACAAGTTGTGTTTATATTAAATAGAATGTTTTTAAAAAATGTCCTAAAAAATTCTTATCTATTGTATGACTTTCCTATAAACTTTAAAGAAAGCTAAACATAAAAATGTCTTTTTATAGATCGTAAGAATCAAATAAAATTAGGATTTTACAAATTCAAATAAAACATGCATGGATAAAAGAAAGGAAATAGCTGACAATCAGCTATGAAAATTTTGATATTGCTAAAGCATCAAAATAAAATCGTTTGAATGTTGACACTGAACAATGGTGTAAGTAATATTAAAAAATATTAGCAAACAAATGTTAACTAAACTTTTTTATACAGTTAAATAATACAAATTAATTTTTTTAACAGAATTTTAATAAGGATAATAATCATTAAATAACATTAAACATAAGCAAAGCTAATTTATAGCAATAGATGAGCTTAAAATACCTGAAATATTTTATTCATACTGCAAACTTATCAAAATTAGAAAACAAAATAATAAAAAAAATTCTTTAATCAGTGACAAACCCAGATTTTGTTTGGGGATACCATTATTTTTTTTGGCAATGAAGGGGAATAGGTTTTTAAGATAACTCTCCTCTCATAGTTCAAACCAGTGCCATGACAACAATGATTTTTAACCATTACTTTGTTTTTGTTTAGTATGTTTATCTAAAGATAAGGAGTTGATTTAAAATAGCGTCTTGTTGTAAAAGACGTGTCTTTAAAAACCTGAATTTACTGGTGGACATAAGCGATGGACATAAGCATATGCTACTTTAGTAAAGCTATAAAAAAATATTTTATTTAAGATTTTAATTAAAGCTCAAGTTGCAAATACTACGCTATTGTAAATATTTATTGAAAATTGTTTTAAGTACTTTAAACATTTAGTAACTACTTTTAGTATTAAATGTTTTAAATACTTTCAAAAAAAAAATTTAATCAATATTTACAAATTGCATAATATTTGCAAAATTAACATAATAGTTGTCTATATATAATATTATATATCATACAGAAAATATTAGTTATTGTCTATATATAATATTATATGTTATACAGAAAGTATTAGTTATTGTCTAGATATAATATTATATGTTACACACAAAATATTAGTTATTGTCTAGATATAATATTATGTTATGCATAAAATATTAGTTATTGTCTATATATAATATCATATGTTATACAGAAAATAACTATTCGAATAGAAAACATAAAAATTTAATGAATGTATTTGCTATTATTTTAATTTTAATATTGGGAAATCTGTTCATTTTAACTTTACTTAAGATTAATAATTTTCAATGTGCTTCAAGGTACCTTAAATTAAAGATATAATTGTGGTAAACTTAATGATTGAAAAAATATAAAATATATTTTTGATTTAAAAAAAATATATATATTTTTAATCATTAAGTATAATTTAAAAAATTGTGTTTAATAAATAACATTTACTAGGGATTTTTTAAACATTAAAGTCTTTGAATTTTAAAAATAAATAAGTTCTTGACTTTAAAAATAACTAAGTCCTTATTTTTATTATTATTTAGATGAAAAATATATGGAAATAGTCCGGTCAAAATAAATATTCCAGTTTACAATAATTCGCATTGAGCTGAAATTTGGTACAGACCTTGGGGACATTATTACAAATAAAATATTAAAAGTCCCCACTGACCCTGCATCTGCAAAAAAAAGTTATTCAAGGTAAAAGGTTGAAAAAAATGGTTTTTCAGATTTTTCTGGTAAACGGTAAGTTTTATCATTAAAAAAAAAATAGATCAAACAAAAATGTTAGATCATGAAATTATCTGCAAAAATTGTCTGTATTTTTTTTCTAAGAATAACTACTCCTGAGATATATCAAATCATAAAATTGAATAAGTCATATTCAACATAACCTGTATATTATGTTTTAAATATTATATGTTAGTATCATTCTATATACTACTATATATATTAGTACGCTACATCTTCTTAGCTTTTTTCTTCTTCATCTTCTTCTTTTTCTAATTCTTCTAATTATTATTCTAGCTGGAAATGTGAAAGAGATATATCGGCTGTCTTATCAATAATACCATCAAAATCTTCATTTGTTGAAATTGATTCAACATTGGAGCAAAATTGGTCTCAACAATTAGTACATACTGGTGAACACAATAACCCGACTTTTATGCAGCTACATTTTGCACTACAACCTTTTTTGCAATTGCAAAAGATGAAGTTGAGAAGTATTTTCGGAGCAGGTGGGAATAAAGTTTGAATTGGTTCCAGTGTATTACTTACTAATTTCCAAACCCAGGCTGCTGGGTCAAGTTGATTGCCTATCCATACTTGAACTTAATAGTGTGCCGGATATGTGTTGACTAGCAGAAGCAGAATTCAGAAGAAGACAAGATAGTTGACTCTTTTATTGTTCGGTGTATTTTTTACAAAACTTATATCTATACTTGTCTATACAAACAATTTTTTTTGGAGTTCTATATAGAACAATATAATAACCTTCAAATAAGCTTACCTATCTCCCATGCGTTAAGCTCTAATAAACTTCTTTGCAATCAACACCATATTAAAATATTGTATCCATAGTTTTGCTGTAGGTCTTTGTTTTTCAAATTTTTTTAGTTTTTTATTGAACTGATAAAGTAACCTTTACATCTTTCATTATTGTCACTACTTTCAATATCATTATATAAAATTATGTTATTTATGTTAATTATGTTATTTATGATATTTTCAGTGGTAGTATAAAGATCTGCAACTATCTCATCAAGATCTATTTGTGATCTTTGATCTTCTTGTATTTTCGGGGTAATAATTTAAATCATACCATTTATGTGAAGCATGTTATTACCGTTCAAAGTCTTTACATTTATATTAGCGTTGTCTTCAACATATTGAATAAACGTGCCAGTTTGTGGTGGTAAGATTTGTAAGAAACGGTGGATGATGAAGAACTAATGATGCCTCATACATCACAGTGTCATTGTAGGATGTGCAAAAACCAAAAGATGAAATGATTTGTATTTGTATTTGTAGGCGTTTTGAACCAAACCGTCTTCGAAAAAACCGTTCGAAAAAAAAAGACTACAAAATATCGCTGGTAACATCTTTAAACATTGGACTAGGCGAGGAATAATTGGTATTATCAAAGCCTAATGATTAGATGTCTTTTCGAATGATTATTGTTGCAGTTTTTAAGATTCGAAATCGTTCTTCCTCTTTATTTTGGCTTGTTTTTCTCATAAAAAACTTGGTTAAGAATATCGAATGATTGTCAAAAAATTTGAATTCAAGGGTGACAACTTTATAAATTTTATGACGAACATTTTGTACTTTCTTTTTTTCAGCCTCTTCATTCGCTTCATCGCCGCACAATAAACAATATACATTTAAATAAAAATTGGATTTATTCACGCCAGCTCTGGTACGAGGTGGACTAATTTTGGATATACTGGGTTGATCCACAGACTTCTGGCCTTTTAGGTACTCAAGGAGCCCTATTAACACTAGAACCAATTAAAGTCTTCCACAATCAACAGTTCTTGTTGATCATTCCACGATCAACAAGAATTGTTTCACTTGTTAAAAGTTTAATACAAATAAAAAATAATTGTGACACTTGTAAAAAAAGTATTAAATAGTATATATTTTTTATATTAAAAAAGTATTTAATAGTAAACATATAAAATGCAAAAGCCTAACAAAATATTGTTAAGGACAAACATAATTTGGAATAACGTGATGAAATACTTTTAGTATTTAAAACTTTTAAAAAAGAAAATTTAGTTTAAAAAACCTTGCAAAAGAATATTAGTTATTTATTTTTCTTAACAGGGTTCATAAAAACAAAAAATTATTAAAGAAAAATTTTATTAAAAAAAAAATAATAAATAAAAATTATAAAAAATTAATACTTATAAATCTTTTTTTAAAAATATTACAATTATAAAAACCCAATTTTAATTAAATGTTATTTATTTTAGAACAGCTAAACAAAAAATAAAACCCCCTAAAACTTAGCAATATTTTGTTGTTCTAATCCAAGATCAGAATAAAGCAGCAGAAACTTTTTTTTTCTGTAGATAGTAAAATGCACAATCAAAGCGACAAAGGTTTTTATCCTTTTACCTTGAATAACTTTTTTTGCAGATGTCGAATCAGTGAGGACTTTTTACAATTTATTTTTAATAATGTCCCTAATGTCTGTACCAATTTTCAGCTCTATGCGAATTATTGCGAACTTACCACTATTTTTTCAACTATTTTGACCGAACTAAAAAGAAACAAAACCTTTTGAAGAAGTTTTCGCTTTGTTTTTTTCATTTTCCTAACGTAAGATTAAATAGCAAGCTAAAGATCAAAAGTTCAATAATTCAAAAATTGAATTTGCATGACTGTCATCAAGCCTGAAATTTTTACTTTTATTATACTTTATTTTTATTTATTATCAAAAACATTATATTTATTTATTATCAAAAACAGCCAACGAACAAAAGTTAACTTTAATTGCCAACAAACAAAAGTTAACTTTACTCTGAATGGATATTTTAAAATTGCTTTAACTTTTGAAGAAACAAATTTTTCATACATTCTGTTGTCTAAAATTTTTTAACATGTTTTAAATTAAATTTCATAACTTTCATTTTTTTAAATCTAAAGCAACCAAATTAGTTTTAAACATTAAATTTAAACAAGATAAAGTAATTACTTAATTAAAATTAATTAATTTATCTTATTGTCTTGAAGAAAAAATGAACTTGCAAAAATAAACAGAAAATAAATTATTTACTACTGCATGCATTTGAAAATTTTTTTCTTATTTTTAATAGAAAAGCAATAGAAAAATAAAAAATTAAAATATTTTTTTATTTTCACACCACTCCAGCGGTATCAAAACAGGTCTGGGTTCGTCCTTGATTGTAATTTATTAAGAAATTTTTTTTTATATATATATATGACAAGTAACTAAAGAAATCTATGATGAAAAAAAATAATCTATAATTCAAATCAAAAAAGAATTTTTAAATTTCTTATCCAAGTTCTAAAATGACACCATAAACTAAAACTTTTTGGAATTAAATGGGCTTGAATAAATTATAAAGTATGTAGATTGTGGCGCATATTTTAAAGACTTGAAAAATCGCACTAAAATGGAGACATTAGAACTATTAAGTATTATAAATAAAAATTGTTTACTATTAACATCAACAAAACTATTGTTACAAATTATTAATAACAATTGTTTACTTTTACTTACAACTACAAAATTATTGATAAATAATGTTAATAATAATTGTTTACTATTAACAACTACAAAACAAACAGAAAACAGCCATAAAGCAATAATATTGTTAACACTATTGAACTACTATACTATTAGTAACAATACTAAAACTATAATTGTATCTTGAGCATTATGGGATAAATGTTTTATGTTTGCTCTAAAGTATAGCTAGTCAATATTTTTTCAAATATTAGGTGTTCTTAGTTCTAGAGTTGAATAAATTGAAAAGAAAATGAAAAAAAATAATACTTTTAACTTAGTAATTTACCTGAATAACTTCGCCTTAAGACTAGCTTGTTACAATCGTTGGACAAATCATATTCCTAAATTAAAAATAATGTAACATTTTAATGTAGATTATTTTCAGTAATTCTAAAAATTATTGAAAATTAATTATTATTAAAAACTAATAGAAAAATAGCATAAAAAATTCTAATTTAATTATTGTGTAAAACTTGAAATAAAATCGTCGTAAAATAAACTACGCGATTGCATTACTACAAAAATGTCTTTTGGAAAAAACTTTTTGAGAATAGTAATTTTTGGGATTTTCTCGGCAACTTGTTTTTAAAGTTCATTTCTCAAAATTTGAAAATAGTTCTTCGCAATGCGTTCCAAGAACAGCAAATATTATATAAAAAAAGTTAGCAAGAAATAGAGTACAAACTAAAAAAATAACAAACTTGTTTGGTTTAACACGCACAAATACTATTTCTTTGAAAATTTCGCCTTTTTGGATTAAAGGTCAATTGCCTAACTTCAAAAATAGTCATTATTGTCTTACTGCAAACTCTACTTCAAGTAGTACATGTGCTTACTCAACAAAAATATTGAGAAGCCGCCTATGTCAGATACTTTTCGAAATTTTGATATATCCTTACTGCTTGCTTTTTTAAAGCGTAAATTAAATACGTTTAATAACAAGAATGGTTTTTTTATTACAACAAACTGGTACTAAAAATTAAAAAAATAAGAAAACTAGATTCACTGCTTGCTTAAATTTAAAATGTAAAAACAATTTTAAATATTTAAATGAAAATAATTTTTGGTATTCTTCGCTGCCACGATAGCATGCAATCAGTTGCAATCAATATTCTTTTGTAATTAAACAACATTTGTTGTTGTTTTTCTTCAGACTTTGTATTTGTAACTTTATTTTGCTATGTGATTTATATATAAAATTATTATTAATTATAAAATTGAACTCGCAATAAATGTTAAATATAAAAACTACGAGCTGGTGTTTACTTTTTTCAAAACTTTTTTTATTTTTGAAACATTCCTTTTGATGACGCAACTTATTACATGACGGTGTAAGGGTTCATCTATAAAGGACGTCAAGCAGAATTTAAATATTTAGAAGATAAATAATTAGAAGATTAAAAGAATAGAAGAAGTAGAAGATCAATGGTACTCTTCCGCGGAGATTTTCATTAAACATAAATGGCTGTATTACTCGCCCTTTATTGCCCACCAGTAAAAAAGAAATATATATTCAAAAGAATACTCTTAAAATGAAAGCTGCAACGGTATATTAAGATTACAAATAAATCAAATATATTATTCCTAACAATAATTAATTATAATTAATTATTGTTAGGAATAATATATTTGATTTATTTGTAATCTTATCGCTGCATACATTGACATATACAATCGCTGTATGAATTGACTGGACACCAGAAATCAAACAAAATAATCAGTGTTTATTGATTATTAATAATGATTATTACACACTGATTATTTTATATTATAAAAATATATAATTCTTAATATATCTTTGGAAATCGGATCTTAATTTGCCGTGTCATTGCGAAACCACTTTTAATTTTGCGTTGATTTCATATTCGTGTTCAATAAATGTTACAGACATTATTTTGTTTGATTTTTGGTGCCAAGTCAAAGTATACAGCGCTGAAGTTGTGTAGAAGTAGAAAGAATATAAGAAAAGGACCCCATGCATTCCCAGAACACATTTAATATGCGGGGAGAGGCGGATAGCTGGAAAATATTTCGACAAATTACCAAATACTGTCAAAAAGCCGTATCAAATATATTCCTGGTTAACACCCCATATATATATATATATATATATATATATATATATATATATATATATATATATATATATATATATATATATATATATATATATATATTATATATATATATATATATATATATATATATATATATATATATATATATATATATATATATATATATATAGCCCTTGTGATGATTAAAAACTGCGCAATGCATAAGCACAGGCTTGGTCGGGAAGTGGGAGCGATCGCCCTCGATTGCTGACCACGTAAATAATATTTAGTTGCGAAAAGCTGGCCAGATTTTTTAGTCGTTTTGAGAACATTTTAAAAAGCAAAAAAAAAAAAGCGACTAAAATAAATTGGACCGATGAGAGACAATTACAAAAAAAAAAATGTAGGCAAATAAAATATCTTTAAACGCGAAAAAACCTTAAGCTAAATAAATTACACTTAGAACAAATATTTTCTAAACATCGGTTTTTATAACTTTTTTTATAAAATTAAGCGATGTTTTTTATATAAAGTAACAACTTACGATTGTTTAAAAGAGAAACAAATATTCTTTATTTAACTAAATTTGAAAGTTTTAGTTTTACTTAAGCTTAATTTATTTTATAAATAAAAAAGTTAATTTTTTTAATACCTATTTTATGTTTCGCGTAGTTTGAAAAGTTTAACATATTTGAAGCGATTCTTCTTAGTAAGATAAACAATTGAAATAATTAAATCATTGAATTACTATAAGAATTAAATTAACAAGATAGAAATCAACTAAAAAGGTTAAAAACACTTAATGACCAGGAAGCGAAACTGCTTCACAATATCGCTAATGATGTTTAGTAAGTGGGCTTTTTAATTTTAATTAGTATTTAAAGCAGAAAAAAGTATAACGAGTTTTAAGAATGGCAACTTAAGCGAAAATAATTAGAGTTAGTAAACCAATATCTAGAAACTTTTCTTTATATCTAAATATTTGCTATTATATATTTGTGTTCTGTCGTGACCTCAGGCGCAATGCTTGTTCATCCGTGAGTTATTTTGTATGCGTTGTTTGTGTTTAGTAACCAGAAACTTCTTATATGTTTGTTACATAATTAGTTTTATTAACTTTAACGATTATAACTTCATTAAAAACGCAATTATTTTTGTAAGTCTTTGTTTAAATCATAAAAATTGCTTTATAAGATACATTACGATAAAAAACAAATACACAAAATTACATTTACATAAAGAATACAATCTCTTTTAAAATAAAAAATAAGAATATACTAATAAAATCTATGATTTATAATGAACTTTTAAAATTTTAACAATTTAATTAATATATATTTAAAACATTTATTTTTATAAACAAATAATATATATTCTTAAAACAATTCTACAAATCTCAAAACGTAACAAATCGTGAATAATACAATTTCTAAAACATTTTAACAGAATACTCTAGAACTTTATTTCGCTTAATCAGCATATTTTTTGAACCAATAGTATTAGTTTGTTTGTTAATTTGGCGGGTTTTTAGTGTTCGCAAATATTCTTTTTATTCTTTCGCACAAAGATGTTTTGAGAACATTCAAGTTTGTTATGTTTCCATGTATGTCCGTAAAACAAAAATTCTTTGTTTCATACATAAACCTAAATGTTCTCAAAACGACTAAAAAACCTGGCCAGTTTTACGCAACTAAATATAATTTCCGTGGTCAGTATTCGAGAGCGATTGCTCCTGCTTCCCGACCAAGCCTGTAAGCACGATGTGATTTTTGACATCATTAAATTCTTTTTATTTGCTTTTCATATTTATCGACATTAACTGCACCAATTTACTTAATTACCGCAAAACTACTTTAAATCATTAATGTAGAAATGTTATTATTTAAAAATATTTTGGAATGTTTCGTTTTATAAAATGTAAAAACATTTGTTTATTTTCTTGACGTTTGACACGTTTTGTCTATACTAAACGAATAGAAAACATAACTAAACATTTAAAAAAGATTATTAAATATGCTAATATTTGAGTTTATTTTTTCAAATAAGTAATTAAAAGTTTTTCAAATAATTATTTCCTTTTTAAAAAGTCAGCAAGTAATAAACTGGAAATTTTAATATTGTGCGATTAAAAACTGTGCAATAGCTAATATTTTTACCAGCGATTTTATATATTTTTTTCTTTATTTGTTTTTATTTATTTTCAGAAAGCGGTTGATAAACAATCAATCACTCGTATTACTAAAAAACTTTAACGAACATTTTGAATAGATTTATAATGTTTACAAGGAATTTTATTTTTGGTAAAATAAAATAAAATGTTAGAATAAAAATCTTATAGGTATAAAAGACATATTTCAGCGAAAAAATTATTCTTAATAATTATTATTAAAAATTATTCGAAAAACTATTGACGTTCTATTTTTCAGCAGCTGTTCTTGAGCAGTTACTTTTTACAAAAATTTTAATAGCTGTACTTTTTTATTGAATCAAGTAGAATATGTTTTAAATTAATCCTTTTGGATTTTTATTTACATTACCAATTTTTAAAATATTTCCTTGAAATTACTCTTAAATACTTTAAATACGTCTAACAGTTAATAAATATTTTTAAATCTATGGAATAATTTTAAAACCTAACAAACCCCCGTAAAATAATTATTTAAGTTAAAAATCTAAAACTAAAAGAAAGTATTTTTGTTCAATTTTATAGACAACTTTGCTATTGCAGGCTTGGTCGGGAAGCGGGAGCGATCGCTCTCGATTACTGACCACGTAAATAATATTTAGTTGCGAAAAGCTGGCCAGATTTTTTAGCCGTTTTGAGAACATTTTAAAAAGCAAAAAAAAAAAAGCGACGAAGGTTAATTGGACCGACGAGAGACAATTACAAAAAAAAAAAGTAGGCAAATAAAATATCTTTAAACGCGAAAAAATTTAAAGCTAAATAAATTACATTTAAAACAAATATTTTCGAAACATCGCTCTTTTATAATTTTTTTTATAAAATTAAGCAATGTTTTTTATAGAAACATCAACTTTTTATAGAAACATACAACCGTCAACTTAAAAGATTGTTTAAAAGGAAAACAAATATTCTTTATTTAACTAAGTTTGCAAGTTTTAGTTTTACTTAAGCTTAATTAATTTTATAAATAAAAAAGTTAATTTTTTCAATACCTATTTAATGTTTCGCGTAGTTTGAAAAGTTTAACATATTTAAAGCGATTCTTCTTAGTAAGATAAACAAATGAAATAATTAAATCATTGAATTACTATAAGAATTA